GATTACGTATGASTTYCAAATCTCTGCAAAAAATCAGCGCCGTTTTMCATATTCTAAAGWACCTGTCCTGAAATTGCTGATCCACAGTTCAAATTAAGAATTCCCCTTCGCTTACTCCCCTAGGGGATATAATGGGACAACCAACCCCTCCCCCTGGCCCTCAGAAAGTAGCTGTCTTGAAAGTGACAATCGGCACAGTGTAACATAACTCCCCCTCCCTCCCTCCCTCACTCCCTCCCTCCCTCCTCTGTAACTCCCACCCCTAAAGTCCACGATAGGACGACCCTGTACATTTTGTTCAAGTGCCTGTGAATAACTCCCCCTTCTCTATCCCCCAAGGGCTATCATAGGGTTCCCCCTCTCTCCCCTCCCTAGCCCTGCGTAAGTATACCTGTCTTGAAAGTGTCAATCAGTAAATAAAAGACTATGAATTATACCTAATGTAATACATCATAYAAGGTTATTAATAACCAAAGCTCCGCCTCCGATGAAGAGAATATAGTAAACGTAACAAGCCACTTACTAAGCTTACTAATGAACTTTCTTAAGTGAAAGCCAATTGATTATCGTYAATCTATCATCGGTATCAATTTGAAGCGTTTTTAAAACATGGAGATTTGGGCAAGACCTGGGTTTTATTATCCGATACCAAGCTACCGTTTACCTYTACCTGAGAATAGTGCGAGATACAGCAGCGCCCAATTTATCTCGTATTTGAGATGCACGTGCGAATGTTATTGCGATAAAGCGCTAGAATCTCGGGCTGAGGCTTTGCATCGAGTGAGGAGGATCTATGACWTGAGGGCACTAAGTGACGAGCGAACTAAGGATATTAATCATGGTAAGAGTGTTTTATAGTCGTAATTAGTAGCGTAATTAGAAACAATTAATAGCTGTTTTACAACTAAGCATGGTAGTTTGAAAAATCATAATTATTGTAAACATGATTAAGAAGTTGATGAAAAAAGAGTTTAGTTTTGGCCGTGTCAATGATGATAAACTTTATTTTTCTGAGAGATCTGAATTGCATCTGGTATAAATGTTTTCATTTTTTTTTTCTTTTTGCAAAAGCAACGTTTCTGGGGCGAATTAGAATTTCCTCAAATTTATACAAATAACTTAAGCGTGCGAAGGATGCAACACCCGATATCCCTTGGATTTTAACACACTATTCATTGAAGAAAATCAGGCGCGTTAACTAATTGCTGGTTTTATATAACAATTATTATAAATAATTAGCATTATTATTTCAAGCTTAAAGCGAAAGAAATCAAATTTTTAAACGTTGGAGAATTCRTAATCATCAATAATTGGGAAAATGAAGACAGAAAAATCAGGGTAGATCTTGAGGCATCAGAATTTGAAGTGTTAGTGATTGCGCAGACTATGAACGAACAATTACTGYTTTGATWAGATTTCTTAATGATAATTTCCTCTTTAAAAGATCAATATAAAAACCAGCTCAATTGGAGATTGAGTTCAAAGTCGCATATTAGKATAGATGGCATCATTGTCGCAATTTATGAACTGGGGTATATTTTCCTGATTATGCGAAATTATTAGCTGCGAAAACGTGACGAGCGGTRATTTTAGCCATTGATTGCTCAAAAATTAAACAAAATTAGTTTTAGTTTAAGTTTAATTGTTTTTTCCGATATTAACTAGCTCGTTTTTAACATTTTAATGAATTTTTTTGGATTCATATTGTAATCACTTTATTAAACAATGGACAAAGTTTTTCTATTTTAGCGAGTTGCTATGGTAAATGAACAGAGAGCAATGCCATTCTCATAAAAATTCCTTTCAAACTTYATGATTTTGAAGCAGAGATTCAAAGAAATGTTCTTTTCTTCTTTAAAATTATTTGGTAAAACTTTSCAAGGAATTTGTATTTATTTTCGTGATCGGATAATTACTAATATAGGCAAAATTCATTATCTCTTGTTTGTTAATTAGAAAGTCAAGAAAAGGAACTTGGTCACTGATAATTAGGAAGGATTTTTTTAACGCGAGGCCATCCCCCATTGAAAGAAAAGCGAAAATGTCCCGAAAACCTTGATTAAACTGTTGAACAGGTTTTTGCTAAAACCAATACTTGCTCGCGGTAGAGAAACATCTTTTGTGTTTAACAACTTCATTTGTTCATTGAAGGTCATCTCGATTATCAAGGACTTTGAATCAAGAGGTTTTTATTAAACCATGGCAAAATCTCACTTGCAAGGCAATAATTTCACGCAAAARCGATAAAGGATTTTTCATAAATGATCTTTGTTRTCATACCAAAAAACATGAGTGAAAAAATCCACATTTAATTCTTTGAAAAGACAATTTTTTTCTGTTCAACTTTGACCAGCTGGAGCAAGCCTTTGCGGGTATTATAACACTAAAGAACAAAAACACAAAAAAATATCATCTCAAATTGACAGATTTGAGCCATTTTATGAAAAACTGTCATTGTATTTTAGTCCCACTTCTGTTAAGCCTCGACTCTTCTGTGCAAACAAGCTTTTTTTCTCAAAGAAAACAACTTTATGAGGGCCGAGTTTCTCAAAAGTGTTTCAATTGATGGCACACACGTGCGAAGGGAGCTCTACAAAATCGTTTTTTAATGAAACGAAGAATTTGAGTTGCATTGTTAGTATGTTTATTGTCATGGTATTTGAATTATAGTCATTTAACAAAGGGAAACCGTAGAATGTTACATGCAGACAAAAGGACTGTCATTATGAAAAAACAACATGAACAACCAGAAGAAGTTCCGAAGAAGAAGACCGTTCGGTAGCTGAGGATAAGAAGAATGTGAAGATAAAGAAGATGAGAAGGAGAAGACAAGAAGAAGAAGAAGTAGAAGATGATAATGAAGAGGAAGAGGAATGAGAAGAAGAAGAAGAACAAGAATAAGAACAAGAACAAGAACAAGAAGAACAAGAACAAGAACAAGAACAAGAAGAACTCAATAAAAAAAGGCGAACTCGGATAGAAGAAAAACAACTAAGAAAGAAAGTCAAAAAAGTTAACTATCAATATCTYGAAAATGAGCAAAATCCAAGAACAAGAATACAAGGCAAAAATAGGTYAAATAAGGCAAAAACAGAAGATGATCATGACATGACAAGAAAGCGACACCAATGAATTCACTGAAGAAAAGTTAAAACTATGAACCGCTACCAAAACCTGATAAATGCTCCAAAGTTGTGAAAATATAATGTATATGTAAAAAAAAATAATAAAAGCTAAGTATCTTAATAGCCCTAGTCAGAGAGTAATGAATGTTCCACGATTAGTACACTGACTCACATCAGTACTATACTCCGAACTGTTTTGATCAGAAAACGAAATGCATATGACTCCATCACAAAAGCATAGCCAGAGAGAAATTACTGTCGAAAAGGCAACGGCGAGCACGAAAAAGTGCAGTTTAGTACGAGTAAAAATAATGTTAGTTGAGGATGAGCGAAAAATGACA